CTTTTTCTTGGAAAAAGTAGACACAATGATTGCACGGTTGTGGAATTGGATATTAAAGAAAACAAGGTAAGTGATATTTTGCAGACTTGAGTTTGACTAGTTGGCTTGCTAGGTTTGAATTAACAACAAGCCCATTAGGATGCCAAGCGTAAATAGTTCATTTTTTTACTTGGCTTATTTTGCTATGTCTATAGCTCTATATAACCTTAATCGATGCCTTCTCCATTTTCCTTTTCTTTTTTTTGGGGGAGTGGGGCGGGGTTGGGGTGTGTGGTTTCAGATTAGATGCATTGTTTAGGAGATCAAGGAAACAACAGAGAAAAGATCCAAAGAAGGATGATGAAATCACTGGTGAAATAGAGGATGAAGACTTATATGTTGAACGTATCCGTATTGAGAATCTTGGAATCAGGTTTAATTGTATTCAACTAAAAAACATTGTTCATATTCTGAGAGTTATCCTTTTTTCTTGTTCTCAAACTTAGAGGATACCACTGTGTGGGTCACCCATGCTGATACCATGATCTGTATTTATGAAGTACATCTTGAGTAACATGAAGTTAGACTTTTTTAGCTTTCTGTTCCCTCTTTAGTTCTTATAGCATAAATCAGATCTCTGAGTGACAATGAAGTTGATATCTGAGTGAACAATATAGATCTTAATCCAAATGGTTAACAATGCATGTTCATAACTTTTCATGCTACTAGAACAGAGGTTCAATTTCTGTTAAACCCTTGATGTGCTAATGCACTTAGCTTCATAGAAAGTAAGAAGCAATTGAAGTTAAGTGTTCCATTCAGATCTACTTCTTTATTTTCCCAAAGCTAAAACATCATAAAAATGACTCTTTTAGCTGCATTGACAATGTACACAAAAACAGCATATCTACATGTTAAAGCTATCAATATGTGAATTCTTTTTCTTTGTTAAACCTTAGCCCCCTTGCAGATTTTATGCACATCTATGTTACTGTTGAGTTCCTGATACTAGTCATTGTAATTAAGTACTGTACTCTTCCATGCAGCTTCCGTAATCTCCTTAGCAAAATTACGATTCAAGAACCAACTTTTGATAGGATAATTGTTGTTTACAGGTATATTGTTTCTTGATTCTTTTGGTATTTTTTGTATGTTAAGGCAAAACTAGTTTAAAGCTTTTGCTGTTACAAATTTAGCTGTTTGGATTTTGGACAAGAGTGCTTCCATCGTTACTGGAATGAATTGCCCACCAAAGAGCTCTATATTATCGTATTATCATTGTGTGCACACATGTTTTTCTCCCTCACTTCTCTAACCAAGGGTCAATTTTTGTTGGAGGTCCTTTTCGAAAACAACCTCTCTACTCCACCCACTGGGTGGGACTTCACTGAGTAGGTTGTTGTCTTGTGTTGAGCTAGTGCTAAGGTCTGCTTATATCTTGTCTCTGCGTACAGCATACCCTATGCTTGAGTGGGATATACATACTGGGTTTGTTTGGTCAGGTTTGGTCATTGGTCACTGTTAAATATTAATGAGCTCAAATGGTGATTTTGTAGACCAGCCAGTTCCAAAACAAAACAAGAAAGAGGAATTCATGTGAAGCATTTCAAGAATATTCCCATGGCTGACATGGAAATTGTCCTTGTGAGCATATTTTCTCACGGCCTCTTGTAACATGATTACTTCCAAGCAGGACGTGTTCTATTGCAATACTTGTTCTCTTATGCATGATTGTGACCATCCTTCTCTGCTTGACTTAGTTCTTGTTTCACTGTTTTCTTTAGCCCGAGAAGAAGAACCCAAGCCTTACTCCAATGGATTGGGTGAAATTCCTTGTGTCTGCAGTGGTTGGACTGGTTAGAACCTAGCCCCTTAAATCTGAGAAGGCATCAGTCTGTGCTTTTGCCTTTGAAATTATCCCATTCTTCTCCTTGATGCATGTATGTGGTGCCACTGTGATTCTCTTTCAGGTAGCAGTTGCGGGTTCTATTGAATCTCCAAAATCTGATTTTTGGGTCATGTTTGCAGTTCTATCCACAGTGGTTGGATATATCGCAAAGACATACTTCACGTTAAGTTTCCTAATTATTTGTTCTTGCCTTTATTATTTCTTCATATAATGGTAGTACAACCTGTCATATACTGGATTGAATTGGCACTAATGAGTATATGTGTAATTGAAAGGTAAAACATAACATGCCAAAAGACCTAGGAAACTGGACATGCTGTGTTTGGGTTGAATGTCCCCTAACTTGAACCCAACCCATTTATTAAACAAGTTTGAAATTTACACTCGAACTTTTTTACTACTCGTTTAATCAAATGAGCCGGGATTGGATTAACAATTCACTTGACATTTTAAAATAATATACCAACATATTTGCATAATATACCAATATTAGTACAAAACTGCCCCCTCAAAATATAGCACAACTACAGCTCAAATTTCAAAGTCAAATAACCGAACCCACATAACAAATTTCACTCTAAACTTTAATGTCTGTAGGACAACAAACCTCATAATTAAAAACGAAATAACACACCATGAATATAAACAAGCACCATTAAAGAGTTATGCCCAAACACACCTATTTGGCTAATTTTGGGCTGGGTTTAGATCAGGGATTGCGTCTGGTCTGCTTTGTCCAGGTCTACATGCCAACATTCCAATAGACTCGACATAATGACATATTTGTATTCGGTGCTTCTGCTCTTCCTTTTTAAAGTTTCATAGAATAAATAATTTTAATTCTGTAATAAACACATAAAACATCATGTTAGCTTTTGTGAGTGAGGTCAGGTGGAGCATAGGCAGGGTCATTTCCGGTAAAATGTAGGCAGCAGAGGATGTGAATGTCATTTTCATTCATAGGCAAAGCATAGCTTTGCTTTGTGCATATGTTTACTTCTCTTATTCTACATGCCTTTGTGGATGCCATTTCGATATATTTTGTTCATCGATTAACTGCTACCCTATTCATATTATTTAAGTTCTTGATGGGGTGTTAGATCTTCTCCTAACTATATACAGATTCCAACAAAACATGGCTGCATACCAGAACCTGATTACACAGTCAATGTATGACAAACAACTCGATAGCGGAAGGGGCACTTTACTCCACTTGTGTGATGATGTGATTCAACAAGAAGTATGAATTTCACTGAACTGCTACCTTCTATTCTTTTCACTTTTCTACTACATTTTCTTTTCCATTCTAGATTACTGCTAGTTTACCAGCCAACATCTGGCTTAATCTTGTAAATTTACTTAAAAAGGTTAATATATGACCCAGACTCAAAAGATTAAAATCCTTTTAGGGGTAGGAAAATAGGCAGAGATCTATTTTCCAGGGAGCTTAAAAGTCTCTTGTTGCAAAAGCAATAGAGCTAGGCCAAATGATCTTGTATCAGTAAGGGAAACACTGAATGGAGAATATAATCTTTGTAGCAAGCCGAGTGACACTTTTTTCCCTTCTGATTTTCCCCCAGCCTTCTTGAATGTGCAGCATTGGACAATTGGTTCTCGTGTTTACCTGGGGAAAATAGGAAAGAAAAATAAATATGGTCAATCTTTTTAATATTTACGATATCTTTAGATTCCTCTCGCTATTATCATATGATCTATCGATTTCGAACCCAATTTGTATTATCTGCCAAATTTGCTTTCCATTTTCCTCTCTACTCTACTCAGTTCACTTTTTTTTCTTCCTGTGATGTATCATATGTTTCATAAATGTCATGTTTCAAATGTGCAGGTAAAGGAGGTTATAATCTCATTCTTTATATTGATGGAGAAGGGGAAGGTCACCTTGCAGGTATCTACGTTTCCTCCCTTTGTCCTTGAATAATTATGTAATGTCAAACTTCTAAAGAAAAAAATAGAATAAATAAAAAGGAACTGCACTTAAGTTGTTGCTGCCCAAATAATAAGAATTTGGTGCTGCAGGAGCTTGACCAGTGTTGTGAAGAACTGATAAGAGATGAATTTGGTGTGATCTGCAACTTTGATGTGGATGATGCAGTAAAAAAGTTGGAAAAGTTTGGCATTGTCACTCGGGTAAAAATGTGCTTTGTTTGTTTCCTTCCCCCGCNAAAATAGAGTTCCTTATATCCAACACCACATCGTTCAGGAGACCCCTAGCCTCTTCTTCTATTATTACAATGTTCTGATGACTCTCACTTGGGTGTGAATTTAGGATACGATTGGAAGGTACAGCTATGTAGGCCTGAAGCGGGCGAATGAGATAATCGGAACCACGACAGAAGAACTTGTCCTAAAAGCAAAACAGGGATCCATCGCTCCTCCTCCTCTTTGACAAACAACACACACACACACAAAGTAGAGAAATCACAAGAGCCTGTTTCAACAAGTCTTGAAGTGAATTTGAAGATGATCCTTGTTTGTTCTCTCTGTCACCTCAACCTCCTGTAAAATCATTTCCGTTTTCTTTCTTTCTGTAACACCAGAGATTCTTTATCATTCATTTATTCTTCTTCTTCTTCTTCTTTAACAGCGAGCCAGCCCCTTTGGCAAGTTTTACTTTTTAGTGCCGTGGATGTAAGTGAATTGAATTCAATGTTTATGTGTGCATTGGAGAAGTAGACACTAAAAGAATTGAATTATTTAATTTTGCAAATTTGTCTTGAAATGCTCTACCATAGCATTCCTTCCCACTCCATCATCATTTTCTCGCACTTCGCAAAGCATCATTCAATGTCAATAGTGTTCATATCCTATGTTTCAAACAAAGAAAAACCTAAAGGAATCCCAAGTTGATGGACTTCAAGTGTATATCACCTTCCCACAGACACACAGATACCAGCTCTGTGTGTAAAGTCTTTACACCACCTTGGGATACCCCTAGTAAAATCCTTTATACAATTCATTCTCAAGGGGTACAGCTAAGGGACAATTCAAAAGGGGTACAGCTAAGGGAATATTATTAGTTGCTGCGAACAAGAATTCAACACATTTATGAGATAAAAAATAATAATAATAGGAACAATGAAACAATCAAATAAGACAACAGCTGTTTTTGTTCTTTTTATACAATTATCACACACACAGCTGGGCCAGAAATATGTAGGATTAGAATGTTTCTTCTTGTGGAGGGGGAGGAGAATCTTTTTTTTTTCTTTCTTCTTCAAATAGTGAGTAAATTATTTTGAAGCTCTAAAAAGCTGGCTTCCAAGGGTGACAACTGGTGTTCCTTCCCCCATCATTGTTGTCAAGCTCATCTCCTTCTCCAGTATGCGGTCCAACTCGGCCACCACGTAACTCATCCCCGGCCGCCTCTCGCTTGATGCCTCCACGCAACGCACCATCAGCCCCATAAACTCTTCCATCCCTTCCTTTGTGAAGCTGTTTCCCAATCTCTGATCAATTATGGCCGATACGTTCCCCGATTCTTGATGGTTTTCCACCTTTAAAAAAGAAAAAAATATGAGCAAGAAGAATGCCCTTTCAAGTAAACCTCAAGCATTTTAATCATTCATTTTGTGGTGGTGATGATAACCGATGTAGTTAGTATATATATGTGATTGATTATGTGAAGCGAAAGATAGACCATTATTATGCAAAGCAGGTTGGTTTGAATTGGTGGGAGAAATGGCAGAATATTTTTTTACCCATTCGACTATGTTCTGGTCTGTGCTTGAAGACAATAACTCGACTGCTTCCCGACCGCTTACAAGCTCCAAAAGGAACAGACCGAAACTATAAACGTCACTCTTCTCTGAGAAGTGCCTGAACTCTCTTACCCTGCACGGACAATGGACATATATATACGGACAGTGTGTGAATGGAAAACCATATATGTATAACCAGAGTGAGTGTTCTTCTAATAGAACACTTGATGATGATGGCACCTACTCGGGTGCAAGGAAGATTTCATCAGCCGTGATGGAAGAAGATGGGCCCACAGCATCGAACCTTCCAAGAAAATTGCGAACCCCCGCATCCGCAACCTTGGCAATGAAGTTCTCGTCCACAAGGACATTCGCGGTCTTGAAATCTTTATGAAGCAAACGAGGACTCTGGGAGTGGAGATGCTCCAAACCTGCTTATGTAGTAGTGTTAGTATGAAATAAGAAAAAGGAGTCATAGGCAAAATGACTCTTCCAATAGTTCTGCACACACACACACACACACAAAAGACCCTTATATCTTTTGACCTTATCAACTCATTATTCTTCATCTAATTTTTCAATCTGAGATGCTTTAACATATATTTCGTCAACTCTGTAATAACTTAAGAGCACATGGACGAGGAGGAGGAGGAGGAGGAGGATATATTTCTTTAAAGGTGATCTAAAGAAAAGATAAACCGGTACCAGGAAAGCCAAAAATGCTCACTGATTTCGCAGATGATCACCTTTAGCTGCCCCGATAGCTATTGAAAGCCTATGCTTGAATTCAAGCCTCTCCTTTGAAACATTAGCAGAACCTGCAGAACCCAAACGAAAAAACACAGCAGCTATTCACATTCTGTCTTGAAAAATCTGGGAGGAATTTAATATAATGCTCAGTGCTTGGCTGCAACAAATGCATGATGATGATGATGATGATGATGATTACCATACAAGTGGATGGATACACTCCCATTAGGTACGTAATCGTACACGAGCATCTGTTGCTTGTTTTCCTGACAGTAACCCAACAGCGTGACTAGATTCCGATGTTGAATGGACGATAAATACCGGACCTGAAAGAAGAAGAAAAAAAGGGACTACCTCTCATCTCTTTTCTCAAGAATCTGACATTGAACTATTCAAGATACACATAATTGTCTGTATACAATGCATTGGATAAGAATAGTTAATCGATTGGATTCAACCATTGACCTGATCATAATAACATGACAGCAAGGAAGAAATGTAGAAGTTAAACTACCTCATCAATGAATTCTTGACTAGGGACACCGGGTCGTCTTTTAATGGCTACAAGCATTCCATTGCGAAGCAAGCCTTTGTACACCTCTCCGAATTTCCCCTCCCCAATCAAATTCTTATCACTAAAATCTTTTGTTGCGGACGAAAGCTCTTCCAGATGGAAGCATCTCGCAGTTCGCGAGGTTAGCTCTGCTGCAGCAACTGTTCTTCCAACTGGCAAATGTGAGTTCTATTTAGCAGCAAGCATAGATATAAGACAGAATATATGGCGCACACATATATATATATATATGTAATGTATACTAGTACCACCATCATCTTGGCCAGATGGATCAGAAGATCCGGCCTCGGAAGTTCTTGAGAAGCTCCGGCGAAGACAAAACCATAAGCATATGATAAGAAGAACAAGTAAAATGCCCAATAGCCCTGCAGCACCTCCAATGATTGCTGCAAGAGTCTTTGACATTTAACCACCTGTGGAACAAACTTGACAATTCTTGAGATGTGTATATATGTGCACTATGAAGCATTGATCCTGGAACAAGAAGAAGGAGGGGAGTGTATATATTGACATATTTATAAAAAGGGAATGTGTGCACAAACAATAATGAAACAAAAATTGCAACTTGAAGCAGGTAGGGGCATTTTTGAGAAGCAATGATCAATCACACATCAAAATGAGATTCTTTTGAACTTTTCTGCAATGTGCAAGTATAACGTCCAGCTCATAAAGCAAGAATCAATCAAAGAAAAACAAATGTACACGTTTTCTTTAAATTAATTAAAAAACCATACAAAATTTATGCTCAGCATTAAAAATTAAATAAAAAATGCAGAAACAACAAGATATTAGAAGATCAAAGGGGAGAAAAAAATGATCTATATAAAGAGAGAGAGGGGCGGCCAAAAAAAAAAGACCTGAAAGAATTGAAATTGCAGAGATCCCAAACTTGATTTGGTAGATAGTAGAGTAGAGTGGAGTTGAGTCACCACTACATTGAATTCTTGAAGAAAGAAAGAAAGAAAGAAAGAAAGAAAGAAGAAGAAACAAAGAAAAAAAAAATGAGAAGGGGGCAGTGAAGACCCTACTGACGCTAGGCTGGCTGTTGTCTACTGCTTAGTTGTGAATCACTTGGGTTTTGGCGTCTCAAAAAAAAAAAAAAAAGAAAAACCCAAAAATCGCTTCCCAACCAAACGCTTAAAATTGATTCCTTTTTTTTGCTTTTGAGATTTAAAGAAGAAAGAAAAAACAGTGACTGGAAATATGGAGTCCATTATTGGTCGGTCTTCCACACAAACACATGTATCTTTGTTTGTGTGTGTGTGTGTATGTGTCTGTATGCATATGGAATGCCATTGGTCGGCTGGTCTTCTTCTTCTTATAATTCTTATGCGCGTGTGTGGGAAAGAGGTAAGGAAGACCCTAGCCTTTCTTTTTTACTTTGGGGGGTGGGTAGAAACGATATTAACCACGCAGTTACTTGGTATTATTATTCATTATGACAAATGCAAAGTTCTCCTCCCAATTTTTAGATTAAGGAAAGACACGTTATTGTATTCCATGTTTGACTTTAGTTGTGCTCCCATATATAAATCTTATTTTTTTACTTTCTCTTCTAGATATTGAAGTTTTTAAATCTTTGATTCTACAAATTGGATTACCCGTACATTGAAATCTATGCCCAAAATTGATAACTCGATTTTAATATACGGGTAACTCGATTTGTAGAACCGAAAGACTTAAAAACTTAAATGCCCAAACCCGCTTTTTACGGCTGTGTTCGAATGTACATTCACCCCGCCTCTTCTTCTCTAATCGCAAATCCACTCTCTTCCATCTCTTTTTCATCTAACTTCTTTCAAATAGTTAGAACAAATGAAATGTCCGGAAAGAGTTGTTCTAATTTAGTACTTTTCTCACTTTTTAAAGGCTAACAAGTAAATCTTTTATTTTTTTTGAAAAAGATTCAATTATTTTATGATATCATTATACTAAGGTCCAAAAAATAAGCATAAATTTTAGGACCACATAAAAGAAATTGTCATTTGGGAAAGAGAAATTCCAACAATGTTCTTGCTAAGAGCTTTGAGCATAAAAGAATGGTAGGGGCATGACTAGTATTCCCTCCATCCAAAAGTGTTCTTTCACATGTACTATTCATACATTGCTTTATTATTTTCATTACTCGTTTCATAATACTCTATATAATCTATTAATGTCCTCTCTTATTTTGTAGATCAAAATTTTAATATAGTGAAAATAAAATTAGTTAAGCTAAGTCTCATGACGTACAAAATGTGAAGAACATCTTGAGACGGAGGGAGTACATATCTATTATGCATGTCTTGTAGCAATTAACTCGTTTATTTTGCTCATTGAACACATGCATGAAAGTTACGTTGTGTGATGAATGCCGGCCGGCCAAGAGTAGATCACAAAGCATTCTCTAGAAGAAAGGATATCAATAGTAGAGTATTTTATTTGTCTATTGTGATGTGGGAGAGTTCTTGAGCGTGATAAACTAAAGAGAATTTTTTTTAAATAGGACTAAAATATACTCCCTCCGTCCCAAATTATAATGTCGTTTACTATTCACATGGTCAAACTTCATTCTCTTTCTTTCTCTATTTTCGTTAGCAATTTGATAAAATAAAATACTATTATCACTACTAGTTTTGTAGATCTTTTGAAGTGGTATTTTAATATATAATTTTTATTTTTTAACTCTATAGCATTTGTCATATAAAATGATTTGAAAATAATTTCGGTCAAACGTCTTAAACCGAAACAAACGTTATAAAATGGGATGGAGGGAGTAATAATTTTCTCAATATAGGACCGTGTATTTTTATTTCATGATGTAGCACCATTGGTCATTATTCATTATTTACTATTTAATTAAATGTCCACCATCAGTGGACATTATTTTTCTCATTAGACATTATTAAGTCCTATTTAGGACCTATTTAGGATATAAAAAAAATTTAAATCCTACATTGAGAAATGACTTATGCTTTTGTCCTATTTAGTGCAAATTTTTCTAAACTACTCCGTATATATCAAGTTAAAAGACTTTCATGTCAAGGGACATGCATGCTGTTGTATCCGAATCACATCAGCTATTGTTACATAATACCGAATAATAATAATAATAATAATAATAATAATAATAATAATAATAATAATAATAATAATAATAATACTCCGTAATAGTTATGGTACTACTGCATACATATTAGTTATAGTAGACTTTGTATGTTAGTTCCCTTCTGTTGTTCATTTCTCTTTTTAGTTGGGGTTATAATCCCCTCCCTATATACTATGCCATGTATTCTCTTATTTCTTAATTAAAACAATAATTCAATAGTTATCGATCACAAGGTTCTTTAAGAAACTGGGTAGAAATATGTAGTATATGATAGAACTCTAAATTGTTGGCTATATGTGCATCAATTGTCTCGTGACAAAGGTTATGTGAGCCATGTCACACTCGAATATCGTGGACGCTTGTGCGTGGTGAATGCACAATACAGCTAGGATATGCGCTTCTCCAAACAACCCACAAGTTATCCATGAGGCTTCAGATTCGCCAATAGGCTTGAGTTCTTTAGTGACCTTTTCAGTTTACATGAATTACGGGAAAAACATAAACTCATCCTTATTTTACCACGCTCTCTTTCCTTCTCGCACACAAGTGAGAAGAATGTGGGAAGAGTTGGGGTCACCTTGTGATGTCCGTAGCAAGGTTCAAATAACAAAACTCATATTCTCTTTGTCCAATTTTAATTTAGACTTTCACTTTTTGAAAAAAATTCATTTTTTAAAAATGATTTTAAAATATCAAATAAATCCCTCAAATGAGTCTTGAATACTATTGTTTCATGATAATTTTTTTTATTATATATGGAATGTTTACAACTAATTTCGAACGAAACAGAAAAAATGGCATAATAAGTTCTTCAATAAATTCATTTGGTTTAATTTTGACATTTGATTTTGAGATTTAGGGTCCGTTTGGTATACGAAATTGATGGAATTAGAATTGAAATTCCATAGGATTCAATTCCATAGAATTGAATTCTTTCAATTCCAATTCATCTTTTGCACTATCAATTCCAAATCCACATAATGTTTGTGACCAGAATTGGAATTGAAGTCCTCAATTCCAACTCCATAGTTTGAATTCCATGTACCAAACGGGACCTTAGTGAAATTGAAGCGTAGAGAATAGTTTGTGTGTAGTGTGAGGAGAGGGATGGGTGAAGTGGTAGGGCCTTGCTATACTGTAGCTGCGGACTGGCAAAACGGCTATGTATTGCCCTGCGCCCCATGTGCTTTCCTCTTCTCCCTCCAAATTATAAATTACAGCTCAATATCTTCCATTTTTATGTGTTGTTACAAAAAAAGGTTTCTTGAAAATTGACAATGACTTCTTCGGTTAAAGCTATGCCCTTTCTATCTCAGAAACATCTTTTTTTTTTGTTCATTCAAAAAAAAATTTTACGGAGTACGTGTCTTTTTTCCATTTCTTTTTGGGAAAAAAAGAGTGAACAACTTGCAATATTTTATTCTCCAATATTTTATATTGTGGTAAAAACAGTAAGCAAAATTATGAGATTATTACAATGCAACAAAGAGATAATATTTTGCTCATTCCATTTCAAAAATGTCAAGTTTAACAAATTTTTTTATTGAAAAAAGAAAGTAGAATCACTCCTTTAATTCCTAAATTAGATTTCCATTTGCCTTTCTCACAACTTTAAAAACACATTTTTTTAGAATACTACTCCCTCCGTCCTATAATGATCTTCCCAAAGCACTATTCCAACTTCACGGGAATTTATATTTATTTGTGTTTTTTCATGGCCTATATGATAAAATAAAATATTCTTGTCACCACTTGTTTTGTTGAACTTTTGATGTAGTTTTTAAATATGTATGTTTTATTTTTTATTTTTATACCAATATTTAAATAAAATAGATTGAAAAAACTTAGGATTTTTCTTCGTTTTGCGAACCGAGAAGATCATTATAGGACGGAGGGAGTATTTTTTAGCTAACGGGGAAATTAAATCAACAACATTGCTCCAATGCCTCAATGGCTCCCTCCCATTGTGGGGTAAGGGAGGTCGAACGTACACGATCTAACCCTTATGTTTAAAACATAGAGCATCTGTTTCCAAATGACTCATGATGTGCATCGAAAGTTTAGAAAATTAAATCCCTGCGATTAAAATACTACATCCATTTACGTTGCATGAGTTGACTTTCAAACTTACAATAAAGATTAAGTCTTTGCATTTAATTGCATTTAAATATGTAAATATTTTTTTTTATTCTACTTTAATTCTCATCTAACCGAAAACCGTTTAAAAATTAGGGCACAGATGGAGTAGATTTTTAAATAGAATTATATAACGCAGCTTAAAAAGTAGACACATGTTAACAGATAAGTTGGAAGGAGAAGGGATGACTAATTTCATCACTTGGAGAAGGAAAAAAAGAGAGAGTTGAAGGAGGACATTCCATCCTTCCAATCTTCTTTGTGAGCAAAACGGGATCCTGGTAGTATAAATATCCTAATTATCCTCCCAAAATTTAAAACTCTTGGGCAAGTTTAGGAGGAGATCAATGAACAAAGCAAAACAAAACAAAAACATGTTCGGACTGCTCACCAATGTAGTCGTGATCATCAAAAGAATTATATCATCATTATAACTCTAACACATAGGAAACAAATCATCAGAAGCAGCAGCAGCAGCAGCAAGTCCCATTTTTATTGATTCATACCGCCCAGATTTTCTTCTGACCAACTTAAGCAACAGGAACCTTTGCATCCGCAGGAGCTGCCGGGGCACCTCCACCGGTTGTTGGCCTAAAGACACAAGTCAAAAAGATCAAACACATCAGCTTCAAGCAAAGATCAAACAAATAGTTGAATATATAACACCGGCCTAATGAGGGAGAGGAACAGATTGAAATGCCAAACACATGAATAAAATAAAACACTTACAGTCCTACAAAAACTTTGAAGGCATCATAAATTCCCCATTGAGCACCGGTGAGTGTGCCGATCATGACAATACGGAGTGGAAGCCCACGGGTAAAGAGGCCCACAACTCCCATCTTCTTCACAGCCTGCAATGGGATATATATTAAAAACTACTACTACTACTGCTGCTGCTGCTGCTGATGGGTACTACAATTGTTACAGTGGAAGTGACTACTATGGTTCAAAGAAAAAAGACTCACATCACCAACTGTGGCACCCTTTGCATTGTTGAGGAAGGAGACTAGATTGTCAGCAGGATGAGAGACTATTGCGCACAGAACACCTGCGATGTATCCACCAGCGAAGCTCACTCCAAGTTGAAAAGGTTTGCTACACTCGTTTTTGGGTGTGGGGATTGCATGCTTGTAGAGCAACTCAACAATAGTCTCAAAGGAGGCAAACTTCATCATGGTATCTGCAGCAATACACATCTCTATTAACTATTATGTAAAAGCAACGTCTCCATTCAGCACTTAGAAACATGTCATTTTTTTGATATGATAACAAGTACTCTGTATAACTTTACTTAAACGGCTGAATTCTTGTTGATCAAAGCAAACATATATAAGAATATAATTTTTAGGCTCTGGAACAACTGTGTTGCATAGTACTCCCGAATCCATACAATTGAGTAACCAAATACTCTGTACTAATCACTAGCTCACAAAGAACGAAAAAAGAAAGGCCTATTGAGTAAGCAGTGAAGCACATATGCAACTAGTCATAAATTGTGATCCTAATGCATAACTCTCAAAATGAAAACAATTTACTTGTGTCACTGACTGCTAGTTTTCCATTGTTATTCAAATGAATAACTCTCAAAATAAAAACATTTCATACTTATGCCACTGCCAGCAATTACATCAATGAACGATGATAAGCAGCACAAAACAGAGCACACACACACACAAGCAATACACATAAAGTTGGGAAACACCAGAAATAATATCACCAATGGAAGTATCTTGCACTTACATGGAATTTGACGCCCCCAAAGAGGAACTAGACCCTTGTACAACCTACAGAGGTTGGATTGTGTAAGACACGCAGCCATCAAACTCAACGATAAACTAAAAATAGGAGGATGGTTTCATAAGCATACCCAAGAGCTCCTTCAGATCTGACAAACTTTGGGAACCCATCAGACAACCCCCTAGCAAACCCTGGCTGAGTCTGTACACGAACCTTAACGGCTTCCAATGGGCAAAGTGCAACATCAGCAATCACTTCTGCGGAGGCAGACCCAGCAAGGTATATCAAAGTCTTGTATTTTGATGCATATTCTGGTCCGGCAATATCAGAGTAGTACTTCTTGAAAAACTCATAGAATCCAAACTTGCAGGCACCCTGAGCACTGTACCCAAGAAGGGTAGGAACCCATCCTCTGAAGAAGCCCTTGACCCCTTGCTCCTTGAGCAACACTCCAAAACCAGATGAGATGCTTTTGTACTTTGCAGGATCAATCTGCATAATTTAAAACATCCCAGTCGGTTAACATAACACATGGGAAAAATTTAGCAGTCCACTGACATAATGAAGAACCTAAAAAACAAAAGCCCGAGCATTGTGTCTAGACAACTTCTGATCATTGGAGATCAACTAAGTGAAATTATCACCAGGATTTTAAGAGGGCACTCTATATGGCATGGCATTCCATACAATCACAATGCTTAAGGGTATACCAAACAAGTAATACAAAACGAGATGAATCTGAATGGGACAGTGGAGTATCTACAAAGGTTTTTTTGGGAGTATGATACAAGTCCACACATCAGAAAAGTCATGACTTGGAATTCAATTCAGAATGATAAATTGATAATACAAAAACTAGAGTAAAACAGTAATATTTGTAATCAATAATTGCTCAAAGTTCAAGAATTTCAAGCCCATCAGCAATGTCCTAGGTCTCCTAGCACTGTTTTAAATATTTCAATAACATTGAGCACCGTGGAGAAATGTGGACTCGTTAAACCTAGACTTGAACAGACGGGAACTACAAGGAAATAGGATATCAGCAATCTAACCATCATCCTCAGAGCAGCCACGAGATGTATGCATGAACAAATAAAAATAGAATCGGACAGGAACATTGAAATGAGAGACATGGACGATAGATCCATCGTAATAAGAGCAGTACTTTACAATAAAAAATGATATCCGCCATAGATCAGCATTTAGAATAATGGAACACTCACTGATAACAGATCTGATGTAATAGATACACACGACTACCTGATAGATCGCACGAGGGAAATATCGCAAACAAATAAATGAGAGTCGATCGAAGCAAATAGATCTGAAAATTCGCACCTGCATATTACATTTGACAAGGTCGAGAGGCGTGACGGCCATGTGAGTAAGACCGCAGCTCAGAATACCACCAACGGTGCAGGCAGCGTAGAACTTCGGGGAGTACATCTCGATCTTGCCTAGAGGTTCGTTGGGAGACGGAATCAGGAAGCTCTTATCCGGCGAGGACGGATGCAGGGGGCTAATATTGGATTCCGCGGTCATTTTCTCCGGCGCCATAGATTTGGGGGCGAAGGAAGAAACGGGAGAAGTGTAGAGGAAGCTCGGAATGAGAGCGTGACGGCGGGAAGAGTTTTCCATGGCTGAAAAATCAAAGAGGCGAAGATGAGATGAACGGAGACGAAGCAGGAAATGGGCGACGTTCAGGAACGACCTCCCCTCTGTGGTTTTTTATTCTGCTTCTTGGAGCCAAAGGGCCTTTGCGTTTTATATACGGACACGAACTATCATTACGCCAATACCGCATCCAGGAATATGCCCATTAGGCGTGGCGCATTGGCATTAGAGGGGTTTTATTTAGAGCAATTGCGAGGCAACTATGTTAAGATTAGAATCTCTACAAGTATCAGATGCAGACTTTACTCTTTGCCATCAATCTACAATTAAATTACAATTTACCTCCTCCCAATGACCGTCTGACCGGGTCTGAGGAGTCCTCGAGAATGAAGTTCATCCTTTTTCCCCCAAAAGAATCTCCCCTATTGAGCGAGTCAGCCAGGGTTTTCGAAAAAAGAGAGAGTAGAAAATATGTTAACCAGTTTGTCATTTACCCCTTAAACCGTGTGTTATGGGATGTAATTTGTGTCGTGGAATCGACGGTCACGCCCCGTCATGGCGTGATGCCGGCGCCATAGACGGCGTGACTAGTGGCTTGAAGGCAACCACGAGCGTTGCCCATCTTGTTTCCGGTGTTGAACGTTGCCAACGGCCATAATTTGGTCCATTGGCTATTATTAAAAAAATTTGTTTTTCTCCCTTCCTCACTCTTCATCTCTTCTTCTCTTTTTCACATTTTTATCCTCTTCCTCTCATCTTCAATTCTACTTTTTTTTATTATGGACATGAATCACCCAAATTTTTACTTCCTTCATCTGAATTTAATTCATCTGTTTCGGTTTACGATGTTTGACTGAAATTATTATTAAATTATTTTATATGAAAAATGGAGTAGATCGAATTAAAAAAAATTACATATTTAAAAACCACATCAAAAGATCTACAAAAATAGTGGTAACATGATTATATTATTTTATCAAATGACTAATGAAAATAAAAAAAGAAAATCAATTAAGTTTGATCTTGTGAATAGTAAACATTCAATTTACTTTGTGGCGAAGGAGTATATGTATATCCTAATATTTTTTTCAATTGTTATTGACCTCAAATCGATCTATATAACCCAAATTCTCCCAGTTCAGCGACAAACCCTATATGTAATTACCCGAATTGGTTCCAACCGGCCTAATTTTCTACCCCACTGTTCCAACCCACACTTGATTACGGGAACACATATGTCCTCGAAACCCAATTTGAAGCATCTCCTCAATCCCAACCCGCCACTGATTCCGAGCCGACTCTCTCAAAGAGAAAACACAAAAAGAAAGAGGTGTCAGCAAAAACTACCAAACCCGGCATGAACAAATGGATGGAAAAGGAGGAGGTTGCACTTTCCAGATCCCACATCGGCACCTCCGAAGATCCTGAGATTGGTATGGGTTTATTATTTTTTTAATTTTTAATTTTTTTTGTTTCTTATCTTATTTTTCCTAACAACTTACAAGTTTATTCTTTAGAAGCGATTGTTAGACATGATTACATAATGTTAAATCTAGTAACATGACTCTTAGTTTAGATAAGGCCATGTGTGTTTACGGGGGTTCAAGGTCGTCCCATGTTACAGGGCGAGCACAAAGCATCAAAGGTACAACCAAAAGATAGCTGCTAAGCATGGTTGTTCTTAATTAAAGGGCCGATTGTGCAAATTTGATTAAGTTATCCCGAACACTTAGCGACGCAGAAGGGCGCATCACACGTGACTGATTGAACAAACCACTACAATCAATCCTTAATATTACTCGATGGTTACCATAGTTTGGTTTTGGCGAGGCGAGTTCACAATTTTTTGTTTGAATTAGAATTTTGTTAATGTTCAACCAAACTAGTTAATGTCAGGCTCAAGCTACACTACCATCCCAATTCAATAGTCAAAATTCTCTATATTTTATTTGTCATTTTGAAAGTATTTATCAAGTTACCCCTGACTTGTCAAATGTGTTCCAAAACCAAAGTATCCAAGAAGCTAAGTATATGTACATTTCAAAGAAGCTATTATCCATCCCCTCTTCACATTAATATGAAGATCAGCCACTTATCACCATGTAAAGGAAAATACCTTAATATGGAGTATTATTATTGTTATATATCATTAAAGCTGTATACTTTATCTACACACACACATACACACACAAAGTAATATACTCTATCTAGACGTATATCAGCAGATTAACTTCCCTTGTAAATAGCCTTAGGAATAGGCTTGTATAACTTCTCTGGTGTATACTACAACATATTCAATTGATGAGTTCATGAAATCCTCATATTGCTAGTTGGCATCCACAGGAGCTGTTGGAGCACCTCCACCGGTTGTTGGCCTAAGACACAGATCAATCATCAGCTTCAAGCAAAGATAAAACAAACAGTGGAATAGTATATAATAATACCAAATGGGGGAAAGGAACAGGCTAGACTGAAATGCCAAACAGATGAATAAAACAAAACACACTTACAGTCCTACAAATACTTTGAAGGCATCATAAATTCCCCACTGAGCACTGGTGAGTGTGCCGATCATGACAATACGGAGTGGAAGCCCACGGGTAAAGAGACCCACAACTCCCATCTTCTTCACAGCCTGCAAGGGGATATATATATATATATATATATATATACACACACACACTATATTACAGGACAATTTTTGCAGCGAGAGAATACTAGTGTGGTTCAAAGAAAAAGACTCACATCACCGACAGTGGCGCCCTTAGCATTGTTGAGGAAGGAGACTAGATTGTCAGCGGGATGAGAGACCATTGCACACAGAACACCTGCGACGTATCCACCAGCGAAGCTCACTCCAAGTTGAAAAGGTTTGCTACACTCGTTTTTGGGTGTGGGGATTGCATGCTTGTAGAGCAACTCAACAATAGTCTCAAAGGAGGCAAACTTCATCATGGTATCTGCAGTATAATACACACCTCTTTTAAGTAGCTATTATGTAAAAGAAAGGCCTCATTGAGTAATCACACTCTGTACTAATCACTAGCTCACCGAGAATGAAAAAAGAAAGGCCTCATTGAGTAAGCACATAGTCAACAAGTCATAAACTGCCATTCTAATGCATAAATCTCAAGATGAAAACAATTCATAGTTTTGCCACTGGCAACTACAAACAAAATACATCTGAATGTCCAAAACAAGCATAATGTCCAAAATGACTATCGTTTTGTAAATGCCAATGACACAAAACCCATCATGAAGTCTAGAACACCTATTTATTGAATACTGGAATCAAAATGCAATTATATAAATGAACGATGATAAGCAGCACATAAACAGAACACACACAAAAACACGAACACAAGCAATACAAGTAAACTTAGGAAAAACTAGAAATAAAATCACCAATGGAAGTATCATCCACTTACATGGAATTTGACGCCCCCAAAGAGGAACTAAACCCTTGTACAACCTACAAAGATTGAATGGGGGTAAGACACACAGTCTATCAAACTCAACGATAACCGATAAATTTGATTTCGTAAGCATACCCAAGAGCTCCTTCAGATCTGACAAACTTTGGAAACCCATCAGACAATCCCCTTGCAAAACCTGGTTGAGTCTGTACACGAACCTTAATGGCTTCCAACGGGCAAAGTGCGACACCAGCAATCACTTCTGCCGAGGCAGATCCAGCAAGGTATATCAAAGTCTTGTATTTTGATGCATATTCAGGTCCGGCGATATCAGAGTAGTACTTCTTGAAAAACTCATAGAATCCATACTTGCAGGCACCCTGAGCACTGTACCCAATAAGGGTAGGAACCCACCCTCTGAAGAAGCCCTTGGCCCCTTGTTCCTTGAGCAACACTCCAAAACCAGATGAGATGCTTTTGTACTTTGTAGGGTCAATCTGTATAATTAAAAAAACAATGGGTTAACATAAGTCAAGTGAAAACTTAGCAGTCCATCTGACAAAACCTCAAGATCACAAAAGGCTGAGCAATGTGTCTAGACAACTTCTAATCATTAGACATCAACTAAGTAAAAGTATAAGCAGGATATTAAGAGGGCAGTCAATATGGCATTCCATACAATCACAATGCTTAAGGGTTAATACAAAACGAGAGGAATCACAGTGGGACAATGGAATATTCACTAAGGCTTTTCGGGACTAGAGTGTGTGGGGGTCTGAAACAAGTCTGCACATCAGAAATGTCACGACTTAGAATCTTGTTCAGAATGATAATAACCCGGAGTACTAAAAAACAGAGTAAAAAAAGTAATACATGTAATCAATTATTGCTCAAACTTCAAGAGTTTCATGCCCATCACCAATGTCCTAGCACTGTTTTATTTATTTTAATAACATTAAGCACTGAGAAGAAATGTAGGCTGGTTCACTATCGACTCGAACAAACAAAAACTACAAGGAAATAGAATAGGAGCAATCGCACTATCATCCACAGAGTAATCACGAGATGTATGGATGAACAAATAAGAATGGGATCAGACAAGAACATAGAGAAGAGAGACATGGACGATATATCCATCGTAACAAGAGCAGTATATTACAATAAAATTATGATATCCACCATATTCACTGATAACATATTTCTTTCTTCCTATCCAAAATTATTTCTCTTTTATATTGTGGTATCTCGAATACTTTTTTGTTTGTATGTTTTTATTTTTTAAAAGGATTTATACGATTTTATTGATGATTTGATAGCATAAAATATTCTTATCACGTCTTTTTTTATACTCCAAAATAATTTGCATATTTCACTATTTCTAAATTCACGTAAACTTTACTTCATTAGTGTTTTTCATTATTTACTCCAAAGTCTAAACTAAATACAAAGTACTTGATAAAAATAAATATTTTTGTCCCCGTTTGTTTTATAGACATAATTTAAAAATATGTGATTTTAATTTTTTTTATTTCAATACTAATTTTTGAATAAAATAAATTTAAACTCTGTTTGGTACACAGAATTCAAATTAGAGGAATTTATATAGTATATAGTACTAAAACATAGTGAGTTTTCCAATATATGGAGTAGTACCATATATTTTAATTTCTCAATTTGGTATCATTGTTCAATGTCCAATAGACATTTTTCAAATAAATGTGCAACGCTACTAAACATTGTTCAAAGCCACTAGACATTGTTCAGAGTAAATGTCAACCGCCACTGAATATTATTCAAGTACTATTTACAAAATAAAAATTTTAGGTACTAAATTGGTTATGCAAATTTCACTTCAAACTATGGAGTTGTAATTGAGGTCTTCAAATTCAATTACGTTGTTTGGTAGCACAAAAATATATTCATATTTAAAATTGGTAATGTAAAAATGAATTAAAATAGGAGAATTGAATTGATCTAACTCAATTCGAATTGAAAATAGATGTAGGTGAAGAATGGGACCTGCATATTACATTTGACAAGGTCGAGAGGTGTGACCGCCATGTGAGTAAGGCCGCAGCACAGGGTACCACCGGCGGTACAGGCAGCGTAGAACTTCGGGGAGTACATCTCGATCTTGCCTAAAGGTTCGCTGGGAGACGACGGGATCATCGGGATCCTCTTATCCGGCGAGGACGGATTCAGGGGGCTAGTATTCATATTCGATTCGGCGGTCGTTTTCTCCCCGTAGATTTGGGGGCGAAAGAAGAAACGGGCGGCGGCTAAGTGTAGAGGAAGCTCGGAATGAGAGCGCGGCGGCGTAGACAACGAATTATTCTCACACCAATCCCGGCCCCTATCCTCTTGACCCTTGAGAAAGAAAATGGATTTATAGTCGTTAGTGGCCGGCGGGTCGTCCCACTTGGATGCCGTTCTTTTGAAGCTTCAAATCCTTCAATAGTCCAATTTCATATTCTTTTACAGTAAAATTTTTTAAGTTTCCCATTTTACATGTCACATGAAATATTTTAATTTCGTCTAAATGAAAATAATTATCTTTACTTTTCTTAAATATAATTAAAAATAATTATCTTTATTTTACCCGTTTTAACATTTTTCGAGCCCAACTAGTTTTAATTCTCATCGTTTTACATTAGCCAAACTTCTATATCTTCCCGTCCCAAAAGTCTAAAAATGTTTGCTGGGACGGAGGGATTAATATTTTGGTTGAAAAAATTGTTCGCCCTTGTTATTTTCAATTTTTCTTATCCCTCTAAAAAAATACTCCCTCCCTAAAAACTTGTATGCATGGAGGCATAGAATATCATTTTTGAAATTTAAACCCTCATATATTGATGTCTCATCATTCTATGTAAATTTATTGATAGAAACGATAGTACGTGAATATAAAGATCCCTAAAAAATTACTTTCTCTGTCCGAAAATATTCTACGTATAATACTTTATTGTAAGCTTTTACTCACAGCTCCATACTCCTTGTATATACTATGTGTGTATATAAAAGATTTTGTTATAAGCTCTTGTAATTTTATAATCGAGTATGCAAATATATTATTAATGAAAGATGAAAAAAATATTGATCAACCTTCTATATACGTCTTTAAACGATGAACGTACGGGTTTGAAACTTGTTTATCATTAGTGCTAAATAAAGTGAATAATTTAGATGAAAAGTGATGTCTTGATAGCTAAGCATTTAAAATGAAAAGGTAAGTTTGACATAAAACCCAAACTTTTTTTGCCACAAACATAAATGGGAATTTTTTTTAATGAACAAACTAAAAAGTAAAGTAAGTAGAAACTTCTATTTATCTCTAACATCATTTTTCGTAGTAGTAGTAGTATGATCATCATCATCATTAATAGTAGTAGGAGGAGTAGTTGTTGTTGGAGAAGGAAGAGAAGCTTGGAGTGCAAGGATGGCACTTTTCTCGTCTTCAGAGCTAGCCATGTACTCGTCAGAATCAGTCTCAGATTCAGACTCTAACTCAGAATCACTATCATCATCATATATAGAAAAACAATCTGAATCATAGTAGTAAGCCGCCAGCCATGAGAGATCCTCCTCTTTCTCTTCCTCCATTAATGCGTTCCCCTTTCCCTCATGTTTTCTCATCTCCTCCTCTTTCTCTTCCTCCATTATGGCCTTTTCCTTTAATTTGTATTTCCTCATCTTCTCCTCTTGCTCTTCCTCCATCATTATTGTCTTTCCCTTTCCTTTGTGTTTTCTCATCTCCTCCTCTTTCTCTTCTTCCATTATGGCTTTTCCCTTTAATTTGTATTTCCTCATCCTCTCCTCTTCCTCCCTCTCTTCCTCCATTATTATTGCCTTTCCCTTTAACTTGTATTTCATCATCTTCTCCTCTTGCTCTTCCTCCATTATCGCTTTTCCCTTTTGCTTGTCTTTCCTCATTTCTCCTGCTTTATCTTTCAGCTTTTCTTCCGCTGCAACAACCACACATGTGGCACCGCCTTTCTCCTCTACCTCATACTCAAACTTGGCCTTCTTGCAACATAATTCTGCTTAGTAGTAGCACGTCGCGTGTTATTAAGCACTATAAAAGTTAAAGATACACATATATATACAGAGGAATTTACCTAAATAGCACTAAAACATAATGACTTTCTCTAAATAGCACTACATATGTTTTTCTTTCCAATGTAGCACTTTTAGTCATTATGCATTAATCATTATTCAAGCAAAATTTCGTCATCACTGGACATTATGGACATTATAAGTGCTATTTAGAGAATAAAACAGTTTAAGTGCTATTTAGGGAAATGACTTAAGTTTTAGTGCTATTTAGTGCAAATATTTCTATATATACATGCTACTATAAGATCAACTGTGAAGACCACAATAAAAATGAGAATGCACAATTACGAATTGGAATTTTAGAAAAATATTGAAAAAATGTGAGGGGCTTACGGCGGGGTTGGGGTGCAGGGGTGGGGGTAGGGTGGAGGGTTTAGAGGGTGGGTTAGGGGGGTAGGAACCGTCAATTTTACGAACGGAGCACCGAAGGTGCCCAAAAACCCAGTGACACCACTAGCGGTACCGTTTTCCAGTTACAAATCATGTTGGTCGGGTAACTAATTAATTACTCGTACCTTTTTCTCTGCGAATCATCACATCCTGGCCGCGGTTGATTTCCACGGCCGCGTCGAGCTTTCGTTTTGCACCGTCGCCGGCCAACAACACGCCGGGATGACCTGGGGCAGCTTCCTTGTTGCTTCCAACTCCGGCGGCGGCCATTGTTATATTTCTGTACGTGATTTTCTCCGGCGGCCTTGCTTATAATATAATAATATATGAATGGCTAACCTAATTACATACAGTACTTACTTATTAAGTTCTTCTTTGTGTGTGTGTGTGTGTGTGTGTATACACGTACTCTAGCTAGTTTCAAACATTAACGTAGCGTATATATATAGTATAGTAGTACCAGGTTGGTACGAGAGGATTCATGGAATGAAACGGTGTCGTACTAGGAGGGAGGGATTCATCATCATTCAGCAACTTCAATATTTTTCCATTTTTACGTACTTACCTAAGCTTACACACAGAGCAATTAATTAATAATAAAAATCTATAATTGGGATTTGGGAATCTATTTCATAAATGTTTTCTAATTTTAATTCATACGGAGTATTCAAACTCTTTCCTTAATTATTTCATTCCTCCCTCCCATCCCATCATTAAAGTACACATTATATATTCTCAAAAACACTCCCTCTTTCATTTTTTTTCAATTCCTAGTTCCAACAAAACACTTCCACTTTTTATTAAAAAACCACTTTTACCCTTACTTTTTCATACCCTACCTATTACATCATACTTTTTCTCTAATAACTAATCCATCACATCTTACTTTTACTTCCTAATTTTGGTTCCAAGTCAAAATAGGAACTTTTTTGCAAAGGGAGGGAGTATATTGATTCAATCGACACATAATATTGTGGAATTAATAATATTTCCGCCCATTCACTTGTTGCTTGCGTCCAATTAATTAAGGCGCGCGCGGCCTCATTTGCCCTAATTTTCTTTCCTTTTAAGAGCACTGGCAGTGGCGTGGCTGTGCCACTGCCACGCCTGCCACATAAGCCTTGCCACTAAAATGCCTTGCGAGTCTGCTACTATTTCCCATGCTTGACAAGTCACGGGCGAGGCAATCATCCCCTGTTTTTTCTTTTTTTTTCATCCATAAAATAAATGATTTTTAAAAAGTAGAATCGAAGTATTTTTTGGAAAAATCTAATTATTTTATTTTTAATACTCTAGTAAAAATAAGAAATATGTAAAAATGTAAAACTTGAAAAAAACTTAATTTTTTATTTTTTAAATAAGAAATATTTTTAAAAAGAGTATAGTTTATAAAAATACAAATAAAATAAATTTAAATAATTTAAATAATTTTGAAACATTTTTATTTTTTTATTTGAAAAAATAGAAATAAAATAAATTTAAATAATTAAAATGTGTAAAAAAAGTAAAATTGATAAAAACAATGACTTGCCACTGCATGACATGCTACTCCACTCATGTAACACACACTGACTGGACAGATTTTGATTGGCTAAAATACTCTACGTCATTGTGTGGCATTCCATTTCTTACTTGCCATTGTCTATGCTCTAAGCCCTAATTCAAACTCCAATTATGTTTCAGTAGAGAGAACACTTGAAGTTACAAATTTCATTTGAAGACTAATCATTTTTTAAATTAAATTTTGGGAGAACAATCATTTCCAGATATTTTTTTCCAATTTTCATCATACTTTAATTTAGTTATTTTTTGCTATTATATGAAATTTTTTGAGTGGATTTCCAATATGGTTCTTTATAATAAAATATTTTTCCAAGTTAATCCTCGGTAGTCAATGATTACTTACGTGGTCTTTTATAATTGAAAGTTATTTCCTCACAGTCTTACGTCAAAATTGTCCATCGAATGGCAAATTAAATAAATGACATGTATTTTAATATTTTTTTATCATCTAATATAAGATTAAGTTTTCAAAATAGTTTTTTATTAAGTGTTTACCCAAATTACCCATCTGAGGTTATAATTTTAAGATAACCCCAATTGTTAAAAAACTATCGAGGGATAATATTTCAATTAAAAATCATCTTGTAAATCATTATTTACGAGTATTGCTCATTATGTACTCTTTTGAGAAAACAAATTACGGAGTATTAGAAAGAATTATTTTAAAAATTACACAAAACTTTTTTTCAAGCATTGATTATTTTTTGTTTTTTTTACATTAGTTATCATGTAAATATAAATGTAACTTTCTCATTATTCGAATTCCAGTGAAATGAATTACCCATACTCTACCCCACGCATCTACAAATGAGATGTTCAAAGAGATCAAGTCGCCTAAAATAAAGTCAATAAATTTTCCTCTATATCTGTGCACATGTTTAAAATTTACAATTTTCATATATCAATTGATAAAGTTTCAGGTTTTTTACTTCATTTTGTACACCAAATTTATAGGTAAACAAAAGGTCTATGCATGCATCACACAAACATTTGTTATCTATGTGTGTTTGTTACACACTTGATTTACAAAGTGAAATAAAATTTTAGCGTACCTCTAGCACACCCCTAAAGTAATAGTAGTGTTACATAATACACTGTAATTTTAATACATGTTTTATTTATTATTGGTTTTTTATTTTATCTTTTTTTGTAATCCCATCGTCTTTTAAAACATTCATCTTTCATTTTTTTCTTTTTTTTCAAAATACTTCCAATTTTACAAATTAAAATGACTAATAATATATCTATATAAAATCATTGCAATATACTTTATTCATTTTGCACTAATATAATAAATTACTCCATATTTAAGAGATTTGTCTCTCTTTTTCTTCAACCAAAAAAAAGTTTTTTGAAAAAAGTAAAGAGTAAAACATAGAAAACATATATATCAAAATAAGAATTCCATGTTTTTTATTCTCAAAATAAGAGTTAAAATGCATATAAAATGCAAATTATGCCAATATATAATACCAAAAAATATAATAAAATGTCTATATAAAGAGTCACATAATCACAATGCGAACTCTTATTTTGTGAATAAAAACATCGAACACCTATTTAGAATAAATTTTTTATAACTTTTCAAAACCTCTATAACAATTTGAAATACTCAAAGACTCAGTGCAGCTGAGGGTACAATCCGACTGTGCAAGTGATAACTGATTAGCAAACTAACAACAAACCATTTATTACAGGACTATGATGATGTTGCAATAATATATAAACGAAGAAACAATGACAGAGGTGCTGCGAACAACACCATCATCATACTATTAAATGTACAAAAGCAATAAACAATGCACCCATAATTATTTAAGCATTTAAGACAAGTTCTCCTAATTTGATGGACTCATGTCTGTGTTCACTAAACCTTCTTAACATACTACACCGATCAACACAATAGAATGCCTCTTCTAGAGTATGAAGAAATTAAACCTCACTTGTCACTACGTAACGCTTCAAAATCAAGTTCTATTTGAGCTCACTCTGCTTAGAGGACGTTCTTGCAACTTTTCTCTACATCAGCAATGCATAGGTTGCATTTTGCTGTTCTGTTAACACAATTGCTCTTAGTTCGAACAACTAAGATCAAAATCTTCTGCGTAATCACTCTCAAGTCTCACAATAAATGATTCTCTCGTGCATATCACAGCCACAGATCAGAGGTGAGACTCGTATATTGGCCTATTGAGGAATGCTGAATCCTAGTAGGCTTTATTTAGGAATCTTCAACACAATCTTCAAGTCATAGTAAAGCTTCGAGGTTCACGAGTATCAGTTACTCATTCTTCCCATCTTTTGTTTATCAAGCTATGACTTAACATTTGAAGACGTTTTATTTAAGCATTTAAGACAGTTTTGTTTATCAAAACGTCTTGTTGATGCAAAAACTCTGCATTTAATTGAAGATGAGGTGGTACAATGTACTTTTCATTTCATTGTTGATCAAAATTAGGTTGGCACTGAGCTAGTACTCGTTAGTGACAGATGTTTCTCCATCTATGTGTAATAGTTGCACTCTATATATGCAAGTGTTTTAATAGTTGAGTTCCATTGCTTGTCTGTTTGAGAAGCATCTGCTACTTGTGTAAATGTATGCCATGATAGCGGTCAAACAAAAGAAACTATTTAAGGTCAACAATTTCCAGTCAATCGCAACCATGTGATCAAGATTGAATGGTTGCGATTGAGGCAAACACTTGCCGCTTCACCAAAAGAACAAGATCAAATCCATATTGAGGTTGCAAAGAAGAACGTACCTGATGTTCATTTTAACTGCAGTCCTTCAATATAAATTATGTAGAAACCAAACAGTAGCAATCCAAGAAGTAAACGTTACATTGACCTTGTTTGATCTCAACCATCTCATATCAACAAGATGAGTAGCACTTGTTGCTTGTCTAGAAGACGTACAAGCTGCAGATTGAGTCTCACTTTTTGATAAACAAAAAGAAAATTAAGAAGCTGCTGCTCGCATGATCAGAACCATTAAATCTCTGGCATTTTCAGAAAGACAGTGGACAGATATGTCACAGAGCACACAATAAACAAAAAAAGGAAAGTACTTCGGCAAGTCAAGTGATATAGATCGACAATAGATTTTATTCACCCATCAAAGCATACAAAAAACAGAAAAAATGTACGGCACGTCCGGTAATGGTAAAGATATATAGTTCACAGTTGGTATGATGCTAACAGATCTCACACATGAAAATATGGCAAGTAGAGATTCTTCCCAGAAATATATTAAGTTCACCAATTCACAACTCCATCAAAGCCCATAAATGATGTCAAATGAAGTACATGTTGTATTGATGGATATAATCATAAACAGCATTCCTCCAATATGCAGCAGCAACACAGAGCAGCAAAACTGCAGGCGAATGCCGAAGATCGGCACAACAAACAAAGCACCATTAAAAGCATCAAACAACGCATCTATCGTAGAACACAAAATTATCCAATCCTGAATCAAAGTTCATGTTAAAGGAGATTTGGAAAAGAATCATTTATCATAATTTTAAACAATCAAGCAAAAAAAACCCTAGAGAAGAATTCGCAGCAGCAGCGCATGAATTAGTAGTGAATTGAGAGGCAGAGAGGGAGAAAGAGGACGATACCATCCACGCAAGAAAGAGATGCAACCGGCAGAGTCATCATGGCAATGGTGGTGATCACAGTGGTAGACCTGCGGCGGGGGCGGGGGCGGTGGCGGATGGTGGCAGAAGTATCCTTGATAACCCCCGGGACGCGGGGGCGGAGGAGGAAAAGGATATCCTGGAGCCGGCGGGTAGCCCTCGTAGGAGGACGGCGGCGGCGGTGGAGCGGAAGGCGGAGGATATAGAGATCCGTATCCTATAACAATCGATCAAAATCAACGCACAATAAAAACAAAAGGGGAGATTAATCGAGAGATGATCGGAGAAGATGAGGCTGATTGAAGACATACCCAGGGGTGGATACGGCTCTTGGGGCACTTTTTCGTAGCTCATCTTTTTTTAAAAAAAAAAAAGAAAAAGAAAAGGTCGTCCCCTTCCTCCTCTCCCTCGTCACCTCTTTCTTTCTTTCTCTGTATTGATCGTACTACACCGACTACGGCACAAGATTATGAGTTTATGACAACCTCTTCAACTTTAATTCTTTGTAATTTCACCCCAAGTTTCTCCCCCCCAAAAATCAACTTATTTTTTCCTCATATATGGAATTACTGATCTTTTTATTCAAGTACATAACCTTTTAGATAAGGATCCAAAATTGTATAAACAAAAATGCATGGGACAAATTACTCTTACCAACAAAAATGTAAGCCAAGCACATTTCAAACAATGGAAGTTCCAAAAATGTGTGTATTGAAATAGTGTCATAATTTTTACCAATCATCTCTAAATTGTTTGGAATTAAAGTAGCATTTTTCTTTACAGTGGGGTTCATTAACTTGTGAGGTGCAATTGAAGGGGGTGGAGGAGTGTGTTCGGGTCAGGGCGGGGTGGGGGTTTACCGGGATAGGAACCGTCAATTTTACAAACGAGATGGTCAATCCCATGATATTACCGGGCAATGTCATGGGAACTGTCCCCTTTTCCCGGTGGGGTTCCTATGACATGGAAACCCCGGGTCATGGGATGACCCGGGGGCGCTCCGATGCCCCATTCGTAAACTGTTTTAATACACCGGAATTAGTTGAGCTTTTGCACACTCAAAACCATCATATTGGGCTTTTCTACATCAACATTGCACCAGACACCAACATGTTTTCCAAGTTTTAGCTAGCAAAATAACACTTGGTACAAGTCTACAACACTCGACCTATTCAAAACCAATCTTCTGGCTCAATGGACATCAATGTCTCGGATGCTTATAAATTACACACATGTCTATTTGTCTATTTGAGGCAATAGTCACACAGATGTTAAATAAGATGAGAAACACAAAACATTGGAGTACGGAACAGAGAAAAGTCTGATGCCCAAAATGCTTTGGTTGTTCTACAAGTTGAGAAGTAAAACTTTTAACTGGTGAATTACAACCTCTCTATCTAACTAGAAGGAGACGCAAATCGGTGCATTAGATTCATTCTGGATGTACCCAACTCCCAAGTGCGTTGACTCCACCCCAGGTCAACCCCAATACACTGTTTAGCGCTTCTTCTTTGCCGCAGCACCAGATCTGGATGGGGTTGAAACCAGGTACACAAACACAGCCACAATGGTTATCACCGAAGCCAACTGACCATATTTTGCCAAAAGCCTCTGCACACACCCAAAAAAATGCATTAGATATTGCAAACAACATTGCTCAGTGTGTGTATCGTGGTATATCAAAGATGCATAGACACTTAACGGACAGTACTTTGCAATTTGAACACAAATCCCGCTGGAGAAAATCACACAAACATTTCAACGTTGTTACTAAAAAAACCAATTCAGCACTGCTGATTTCATTTTCCCATAACAAGGACACAACTAATTGTATTCGTATTCTTTGATGAAAATGTCAAAGAAAGCATGTATGATGAAATCCTTCAAGATAAAGAGATGTTGAAACTTTCAATCTTTTTACTGCATTACTTAATTCGAAGTACTTATAATCATGGAACTAGTGTGTTAGCAAGTTTCCTGGCTCTGCTGTGACTTACATTTAAAACAATGATGTTGCGGTGTTTCCAATTTTCATGCTTTTTAGATTGAAATGCATTAATACTTCTATTGGTACACGCATCTCCAATGATTAGAGCTAAACGAATAAGGCAACAAAATATTGATTAAGTTTATCGTAGATTCCAAATGTAAGTTGAAGGAATTGTGAAGTGCGTGGTTAGAAATTATTTGGAAAAAAAGAGAGATGTTGTGAGCTACATTTTCCTTTCCTTACAAAGAAAATAAGGAAAATGTGAAGTATATTTTGAGACTGACGGAAAAGAAAAGTGTAAAGTTTATTTTGGGACATACATAGTATTTAATGAGCCAAATAGGATGGAAATACATGACCCCTCTATCTCTATTGGCCCAAAAATTAGTTTCATTCTCTCTATTTTGGTCTTTATTGCATATCCCATAAATACCATAATTTCCCCATGCGCACGCACACCAAACATAACACATCATGACATTAATGGTGGTGCTAAGGATAGTAAATATAACAATGATATAGAAATAATATAAACCATACCTTGGCCTGATAAGTGATCAAGTATCAGCATTGACAATTCCATGCAAAAAATAAAATAAAATTATATTATAAAAAAAGGATAATACTAGGAATTATAGAGAGAATAAGAAATGGAGTAGAATACTATTACTATTATTTACATTCATTATCCCATTGTTACCATAATTTCTCATTCTACTTAAGTTAGGACTCTCCACGTATTATCTATATATACTGATGTAATGCTCATTATTCAATAGCACCAATTTTTATAAACTTGTATCATGGTATCGGAGCTAAGGTCTCTCTTCTCAAAAACATTGTTTTTAGAAAAATTAGAAAAGCAATGTGTCCATGAGAATTGATATATGCAGCTAGAACAAGCACCACACATACCAAGTCAAACTTTCTCTCAGGGGGCCTCTCTGCTAGCAAGTCAAGAGGCACAATTGGGGTTGAATACGCCTCCTACATAAAGACAAGCAAACATCAAGAAGATTTACGAGCTCAACCATCACACCAGATTTATATATATTGCATTTCCAACCTGTAGAGCAGCCTTGGTGGGGATGCGAAATGTTATGATTGCCGGTGCACCATAAAACAATGTTTTAGTTTTGGCCTCCAATTCAAAAGAATGTGATAGAGAACCACCTCTGAAATCAAACATTACCATCGGAAAAAATGAAAAAAAGAAATGTATGCAAGAGCACAGTGGGTCGACTTATAAAAAAGAAAGTATAGGTGGGTCAATAAACAAGAACTCACACATCAAGACGTTCCCATGACATGGATGTGTTACCAGCAACAATGTCAAACACATCTTCGGGCCAGCTACCATCACTAAGACTCAAATCATAAGCAGTCCTGAAAAGCAGACACTATTCAATATTAAAAGAAAAACCCCACAATTTTATTACCCGGAAGAAGTTTGCCTATTAAAGTGTTTTTGGATACCAAAGTGCAGTCACAAGGCTATGTAATTACCTGGGTAATAAATACTAAGGTTATGTAATTACCTAGATTGTTTGATAGTTGATAGTCACAGTGTAAATACTACTGCCTACGTTCCACTGGGAAATTCGAACTTATGGTACAATTTGCTCTGCAAGTTGGAATCTCTCGGTGGGGAAAGTGAAGTATGTAATTACACTTAAGATTGTTTGGTTACTGAGAGTGCAATTCTGTGTATTCATAGTGAATATGATCTTGTAGGAGGTAATCGAAGCAAGTAATTACACCAATTCTAACGGCTCCCTTTCAAAACTGGGAAGTATAATTGAACTCTTTCAATTACTCCAGTTACGCCCTGACATTGTAATTACACGACCAACCAACCAAACAACACAAAGACTGTAACTACACGCAATTATACCAACTCCCAATTACCATAAAATTATCCAAATGTGTCCTCCAGTGAAGTAAGATAATTGCATGTGCAAACACTATAGCTCAATATTTTCAGACATCAAGCAATACGTTTTCCCAGCTTATAAGTCAAATAGCATAATGGTATGTTGGTTCAGATTGTCACGGCGAACAACTCTTTTATGAATATAGACATTTGAGGACATTAGAGATAGACCCCATCAATAAAGATGCAAGGTATAGTAGAGCTTTTCCTGATACCTTCTAGAGTATCAACGCAAAAGATAATATAACTACAAATAAATGCAACTGGTTGGGCAGTAGATTGTAAATTTAAAAAAATACATATATTATTAGAGTTTCTTAATGCAAAGCAAAGCCTTAATTAATCAATCGGCAGCAAATGAAAACAGATAAAGCTAGTAGACTAGCAGTAACAGTTAGCAAATTAAATGTGAAATAAATCGTCCCTCAACGGAAAATTGAGTTCACCAATTTAAATTCACCAGCCTAGACTGGACGATTTTATCTTTACAAAAAAAAAGAAGAATCAATTCAGCGATCAAATGATTTTCCTGTCATATACACTCAATACAGAAGAGAAATGAAAATTGTGAATACATGAGGAGGACAGAATCAGGGACACAGAGAATTGAAGAAGCTTGCATGCAGATGGGGAAATGGGGACAGATGCACAGATCTGTACAGGAAAGTAGAAGAGATGGATGTTAATAGAAGACATACGCAGATCCTTGATTGTAGATGTCGATGGTGACGGTGACTCGTTCGGTGCCTGATTTGAGCCTTGTAGAGGTTGCCTTCTTGTGGGCGACGATGAAAGGTCCTTCTGAGCTGGAGATGGTGGTCCATGAAGCCGAGAAGAAGAAGAAGAACAGGAGAAAAGCTGGCAACGAGTTCCTAGGCCGATTCGCCATAGCTCTCAGATTCCGAGTGAAAACGAGAGAGAGAGAGAGAGAGAGAGAGAGTCTGATCTTAGAACGTGTCGTTTTGACGAAAAAAGAGATTATAAAAAAAACAAAGCTTCCACTTAGGGCTGGACACAGTTGCACTTGCAATTAGTTACGTGGGGTAACCCAAAAAATGTTCCCACCCGCTATTTCTTGTACCCTTCAAAAAGGGTTATCAAAAATATTACTAAGTCTAATTAAAAAATGATGATTTCAAACAAGACTTCAATTTTTTAAAAAAAATTATGAATGACATCAAATTGCACAAGGTTGGTTTGAAACATGAAAGTGCTTTACGTGGAGACAAGAAAATAAAGATTGACAAATTTTGTATATTTTCATCTCTTGTTTAGATGCAATACGTGGAAGAAAAATAAAATTTTTACTCCAATTCGAGGAGGAATAATGATGAGAGAAAATAACCCTCTATCCTTGACTCTCAATTCCAATTTCCAAGTGTGATTTATCTTTTTATCTCCTTATTTTTTTATCTAACATTTTCTTTCCTCAAATATTTTCTCTTTTCCAAACAAGGAGTCAACGATATTTGATGATAGTTTGATAGTATTCTATATCTATGAGTGTCATAAGAAGAGTATGTCAAATTTGGAGTACTCCAAACATTATTTAGAGACAATTGATTGTAGGGGTAGGCACGGGACGGTTCAGGTTTCACACTATCTCGTGTCATGTCTCGTTATATACAAATGGTTCGGGACAAAAAAAATGAATCTTAAATAAAATAGTACAATTTCAAAACAATTCCAGAACATTTTAGAACGGGACAACAGGAACGGGTTTTATGCCCACCACTAGTTGATAGTTTATGAAGTTGATTTTTTCATTTGAAACCATTTCACAAGACTTAAGCTTCTTGCACATAATAAGGGATGGATTCATATTCATTAATTGCAAGGCTAGAATCACAGTCAATGTATCTCCGCCAAAAGGATTGTTGGCACATTCCAAACAAGCCAAGTTACGGTAGATTATAATTTTAAAATTTAAAAGATTTGTTTCAGCGTGTTACGTACTGATACAAACAAGTCATGTCTGATTTTAAAAAAGCTTGACCTACCCATAGTATTAATACTCTATATTTCTATAGTCTGCTACACTTTGTTATCTGCAATCTATTCTTAGATTATGTGAGAAATAACTTTTAAATTATGGCTTAAATTAGATCATACTTCCTCCGTCTCATAAATTCTTTCATGTTTTGTGATACTCTTTGACCACAAATTAAATATAATTTAGATAACTAAATGTAAAGTACATTTGATATATCAAAACTATATCCCTACCTGAATCCAATTATATTAAATTTACATCATAATTAAATATATATTTTTTACAATTTCTTATCTATGTTAGCCTTGGTTTACTAAATCTTATGTTTTGATGTTAACAAATAATATATGGGTTAATGTTTGTTTGAGTGTTTCAGGTACAACAAGAATCAATTAAGAAATGATTCTCAAGAACGAAGTTGAAATATCAAACTAGCATAAAATATAGGTATGGACAAATATAAGGATATAATTTTTTATATCTATATTCACAATCTCAAATACATTCACAAAATATGTTTAAACCCTTCTTATAATCATTTTTAAAAATCCAAAACGTTTTAGACAAAATAAAAAAGGATTTAGCCAAAAATGAAAAAACCTACACAATGGTCCGGGTCCTAGGTATTGTCTAAAAAGGTACCCCCAACCGACTACCGTTTGACTCAGGACCCCCATACCATAAGGGGTACCGTTAGAACACCTACCGCCGGAGCCTTTTTGCTTGAGAAGGTATCTAGCTACCGTTAGTCCAAGACCCAATCATTGTTAGGACGATACCGAGGTACCGTTTCAATGACTAGATTTTTCAAAATTCACGACTTCCTTTTAAAACACTTTTAAATACGTTTACTACTCCAAATCAGCTCCAAACAACCATTAACGGCCATATTTGATATTCAACTATAAATAGGGCTATAATCCCTCATTTTAAACAACCCAAGCTCTCAAACTTCATATTTTATATTCTAAGTGTGTTCATCCTTTTGTTCTTCATTCTTATTATTTTGGCTAATTCAAGAGCCATTTTTCTCCTAATTTTATACATACACTATTAAGCTTGTGGTATATGTAGAACGAAAGGAGTATCGGCCAAATACTTTGGAGTCTATTAGCACGATGATGACACAAGCTCGTTTCTTAGTGAGGATATATAATAACTCTACGTGTTTAATGTGTTATGAATATATGAACAAATATTACATTATAATATAAATATTAGTGTTTTTAAAAAAGATTAGATCATAGTAGATCATACTCATTGATGGGTATATCCTTATACCCGACCCGGACAACCGAAAGGGACAGGTCAAAATATGACCGGTCACTTTTATCAATCACCAAATGAGGTTAACTCTTCGATTGGGACGGGTCAAAAGTTGACCGGTCACTTCCACTAAAAAAGTGACCGGTCACATTTTGGGCGATAGCCAAAATGTCGCCTAATGTTACAAAGGACATTCTAGAAGACCAGAGACGGGTTGAGCACAAAGAATGACCGGGTAACTTTTGAGAGAAGGTGACCGGTCATATCACTTTACTTGGCTAACATTGGTTCAGTCTCTTAGGCATGGTGAACCACGTCAGAGGTCAAGTGGACACCCCGCTGCTCATCCATCACGATGCACACAGTGAAAGGGATGTTTGTCATTTTGCAGGGTTGATTGGATTGAGAATATCCATTTTAGTCTTTGATTGAACAGTACATGTCTTGGCCTATAGTTGCTAAATTCTATGATTGTACAGTGTTCCCATTATCTACAGTGACCTTCCCACGAGCTTCCTATTTTGTCCATGGATGAACA